GAGCCTGAGATGGTGTGTGAGGTTGAACAGTTCCGACTAGAAATAGTCGGACTCACCTCGACACACCGTTCTGGCTCTGGATCCAGTCTCCTTGAGAGGGGTTGGACACTCTTCCACTCTGGAGTTGCCCATTCTGAAAGGCACTGAGCAGGAGTGGGCATACTTATTGCCCCCCATCTCGGTGCCTATACATTGGGGTTCACCTCGGTGAATGAGAGGGTAGCCTCCCTCCGCCTACGGGTGGGGGGACGGGCCTGACTGTTGTTTGTGCCTATGCACCTAACAACAGTTCAAATTACCCACCCTTTTTGGAGTCCTTGGAGGGGGTGCTGGAGAGCACCCAACCAGTCTACATTGTGTTTTGTGGACTTGGAGAAGACATTTGACCGTGTCCCTCGGGGACTCCTGTGGGGGGTACTCTGGGAGTATGGGGTACCAGGCCCGTTGATACGAGCTGTTGGATCCCTGTATGACCGGTGCCAGAGCTTGGTCCACATTGCCGATAGTAAGTTGGATTCGTTTCCGGTTAGAGTTGGACTCTGCCAAGGTTGCCCTTTGTCACCGATTCTGTTCATAACTTTTATGGACAGAATTTCTAGGCACAGCCAAGGTGCTGAGGGGATCCTTTTTGGTGACTTTAGGATCACATTGGCTACATCAGATCATGATCTCCAGCTCTCACTGGAGCAGTTCGCAGCCGAGTGTGAAGCGGCCGGGATRAGGATCAGTGCCTCCAAATCCGAGACCATAGTCTTGAGCCGGAAACCGGTAGCATGTCACCTCCGGGTCGGGGAGGAGGTCCTGCCCCAAGTGGATGAGTTTAAGTATCTTGGGGTCTTGCTCACGAATGAGGGAAGAATGGAGCGGGAGATCGACAGGTGGATTGGTGCTGCATCCTGCAGTGATGTGGGCGCTGTACCGGTCTGTCATGGTGAAGCGAGAGATGAGCCAGAAGGCAAAGCTCTTAGTTTACCGGTCAGTCTACGTTCCTACCCTCATCTATGGTCACGAACTCTGAGTAGTGACCGAAAGAATGAGATCGCGGATACAAGCGGCCCAAATGTGTTTCCTCTGCAGGGTGTCTGGGCTCTCCCTTAGAGATAGGGTGAGAAGCTCAGTCATCCGGAAGGGGCTCAGAGTAGAGCCGCTGCTCCTCCACATCGAGAGGAGCCAGTTGAGGTCCTGGACGCCTTCCCGGTGAGGTGTTCTGGGCACATCCCACTGGGAGGAGGCCCAGAGGAAGACCTAGGACATGCTGGAGGGACTATGTCTCTCGGCTGGCCAGAACGCCTTGGGATTCCCCCGTACGAGCTGGTCCAAATGGAGAGGGAAGTCTGGGTCTCTTTGCTTAGGCTGCTGCCCCTGCRACCCGACCCCRGATAAGCGGAAGAAAATGGACGGACGGATGTAAACAAAATCCTTATATAACAAAGTTTTTCTCTCATAAATCATAATAAATCCAAACACAGAGCTACATTTGTTGATTTATGCTAATTGAATAAAGAAAGTAGCAATGATTAGAAGGTTCACGTTAATTATAAAGTTCTTTGTGAACTTATCTCCCTTCTGTCTTTTTTCCTGAACCAGTTTTTTCTATGAATTTTGCACAGTTTCTGTAACACTCATCTGCCACAGCTGCGCTTAAAGAGAGTCAGCTTTAATAACCCAGTCCTCTGATAGACATAGGGGAGACCGGGGACAGTAGCAACAAGGGATGGTTGCAACACGTCCTTTTTCTCCAAACATAAACAAGCTAGAGTGATGACACTCACATTGTACGTGCTCAGTTAGATGTCCCACCTTGCAAAGAAAAAGTAAGCAGATTCAAAAACTGCTCCAGGGTTTATTTGAAAAAACTGTTTTTGAGTTATCAAAGTATTTTTTTGCTCAGCTTTTTAAAAATTATTATACTGTTGTCACTGTTTTTGTGATCCAGCTCAAACTTATATGGTTTAAACAAGTGATAGGTTGACTTTTAACTAATATAGTTAACACAAATCCAGATCAGCTAATAAGCTGATCTGGATTAGCTAACACACAAATTTTTATCGTGGCTGACAGGAAGGGGGACATTTGCAACAACTGTTACAACTGTCCCCATCAAATAAATCCATATAAAAACAGAGCATAAAGATGACATTAAAATGTTGAAATTAAGTTTAAACTTAAAAAGGTATTGGGTATTCATGACAATTTTAAAGTTTAAAAATTACAAGTGTTTAAGATGCACTTTCTGCAGTTGTTGTTTTCAACAATGGTTTTAAAATCCCAGTTTCTTTCTATGTAAATGTTGCATAATGTAGGCGTACAGTGACAATAGGCAAAACAAAAGTTAGTTGCCTCACAAATTGTTCTAAAAGTCTCAAAAAGTCAACTGTATTTTATATCAATTGGAGTCTTTGACATCTGGTCCACTCCAAGGCAAAATCTATATTTGTCATTTGATCAGAAGGAATAAATAAATAACACTGTAATATCATTGTAACTCTCAGTTCTTATAAATTTAGCAATATTATAAATATTAAAATAATAAAACTTTTATTTACAGTGAAATAAATTGTATTAATAACATGCTGCAACCACCCCCAAACAATGTTGCAACTGTCCCGGAGTCAGTTCCAACATCTGACTTTTCATTTTCAAATGCAAATTGTGAAGAATGTACATGCTTTAATCCTCTATAAATGGTTTTGACTATTAACAGACAGATGTAAGTTTGTTGTATTAAAATTTGGTTTGTCTAATTCAAACCATCTCTGAGTAACAGAGTCAAATTTAAAAAGCGTTGCAACTGTCCCCGGTCTCCCCTACATAGTGATTATATTCTGAATTATTACAAACATAATACTAATACTAACTAAAAAGAATACTACCAGAATACGCTTGGATCTTTTCAGACATGTTTTCAAAAACTGAAAGATTCTGAAAGATCCTGAAAGAGTCTGAAAGATGGAAGATCCTGAAAGGAATGGCTYCTGTGTTTTAATGGTCCTTTAAAAAGATTAGGACTCACAAAGCAGTTCTTCCGTTTCCTGTCTCTGTGTTCGGACATCAACATTATTGAAAGTTTCAGTTCTATTTCCTGGGAAAAGTACATACACTTTAAAAAACAGGGCGGAGCGTTCAACTTTTAAGTTAAATTCCCAACAAGACAAACAAGTAATTCCTGGTTGGTAATTAAATTGCTTTGTGATTTTATGAAACTACCCCTATAACAACAATTGCATATTTTTATTGCAGCTCTGCTGTGTCAAGGTTTATTTGTTTTTTAAGAGAATATATCTATCATGTAAAAAATGTATCACAAAGACGACATAGATTTGAAAACTATACAAACTCTTATGCAACACTTGTAGTTCCTGTGTTGTGTTTAGTAAATGACTCATAAACTTTTACATACAGTTCATGTATTCCATTTATGTTGTTGCATATGTGTTCTTATTCTTTTGAACACTGGGTGGCGCATGAGACCAGTAAGACCAAATTGCCCTTTGACAGATGTGACCAAATGGGAAACATCTGTTTTGGACTGTTGCTGCTGTACTATTATTAGAAAAAAAATATTTAGTAATCCTTGATAAAATTCTGCTGAAAATAAATATTGAAGGGTTGTTCTTCACATTGTTTCTAGATCTTGTTTTATCTGTAGTATTGAAGAGTAACCTTTAACATGACTACTTTAACTGGCTTTTGTGGAATAAAATGTACTTTTACTGATATACAATCTTGCATTTTCTAGAATGCAACTTTACAGATGCTTAGTGGACATTATTATTTTATTTTTTTGCCTGAGTATAAGTAACCGTTATCTGTATTTGGACATTGACTATTTGGGCACATACGTATGTCTGATAGATCGTGGAAGTTTTAAGAAGTCCAAGAATAGAGCCTTGATGGACTCCTACAGGAGATCCGATCCTGTCAACACAAACACATTGTTTGAAAGATCGAACTCATCCAAAGAGTTTCTCAGAAAAAACTGAAGTGTGCTAATTTAGACAAAAGCATTCTAAAATGTATGAAATGCCTTTGAAATATCAAAAACTGCTCATATACCTAATTAAATATTTAAATTTGTCCAACAAAACAAAGCACAATTTGCTGTCTATATAGAACAGTGGCTACAAACTTAATATTTTTTCAGTAGTTTCAGGTGTAGAAACAAAGTAGGTATAAGTGATAATTAGCAATTTATCCTGTAGGTGTAGCTAATTTCTGTGGTCACAAAATATCCCAATCCTAAAGCACACTGCTTATAACAGACTCAAATTGTATTGCGTGGTTTGTTGCTTTTGGTGAAGCACAATTACAAACATTAAGTGGAAATTTTATTGTGTGCATATAAAACACACAAAAAATAAAATAAAATAAATTCAAATCAAATCAACTTTATTTATAAAGCGCTTTAAAACACCAGCTCCTGACACAAAGTCCTGTACACGAGGGGCCAAAAACAATAAAACAAATCAACACTAAAAACACTCAAACACTAAAATAAATAAATAAATAAATAA